ATCCCAGCATTTGAGAAGCAGAAGCAGGAGGATTGCTGTTAAAGACCTGCCTGGGCTATACTATGAATTCCAGGCCAGCCATCTCAAAACACAACAAAAAAGCAAAGCTATTCCACTTGTAACACTAAAATATTTAAGATGGATCATAGATAGACCACGTGAAAACCCCAGAACAAAAAAGTCTCTACAAGAAAGCAGTGTATCCTGCTGGGTGTGGTGGTCTATGGCTGTAATTCCAGTACCTGGGAGGTAGAGGCAGCAAGACTTGAGAAGTTTAAGGTCATTCTTTCAACATAGTGAGTCTGAGGCCAGCCTGGAGTACATGAGACCCTGTAAAGAAACCAGAGTATCTCTACCACCTTAAACGTAGGTCTAAATTTCTTAGCCAGGATGTAAGAAACGCTAATCATAAAGAAGAGCAGCACTCCACTCCAAGATATAGGTTAATGATGGGACCACCAAGATGGCTCAGCACGTAAAGGTGCTTGCCGCCAAGCTTGATGACCGGAGTTAAGTTCCCAGGATCCCCATGCTGGAGAGAACAGACTCTCACAGGTTGTCCTGTGACCACTACACATGCATCATGGCACATGGGTGCCTATACACAGACTAAATAAATACATGTAAAAATTCTACTTTCAAGATACAGGCTAAAAAAAAAAAAAAAGATACAGGCTAATGATTTTGTTCCAAAAGAAATTCTAGAGCACTACAATGCATGCACTTTCAACCATTTACTACTTTGGATTTTTAGAACCTCTATGCCTTCTTTACCACTAAACGAACTGACAGAGGTCTGTGGAGATGACTCAGCTGTAAAGAACTTGCCATGCAAACATGAAGACCAGAGTTTGAGCCCAAGTACCCATATAAAAGTCAGGCAGTGTGCGCTTGTAATCTCAGAGCAGGGAAGGAGGGGACAGGAGGGTCCCTGGGGCTCAGTGATTGATTAGTCAGCCTTACTGACTTGAGTTCAAGGAGCTCCAAGTTCAGTGAAAAACCCTGCCTCAAAATAAATAAGTAAATACTTAAATAAAGTAGAGCCTGGCATGGTGGTGCATACCCTTAATTCCAGTACTCCAGAGGCAGAGGCAGGATGATCTATGTGACTTTGAGGACAGCCTGGGCTATACATACAGACCTTTACCCCCCCAAAAGACACCTGGCTTCCATACGAATGCACATCCATGTGAATATATACATACATACATACGCACACACACACTCTCCCTAATTCAGACAGATATAAGATTTTATTGTTTTTAATAATTAACAAACAGAAATTTGACTCTACAATTTTAAATATCTAACAGGCTAATGGACCATCACGATTAAATAATATTTCTGTTTTCTATATTGTTTTTCTTCAATATGATTTTACATTTATGATTTTAAAGGATCTGACATAAAACCATGAAGAGCACGTGTAACTCAAATGTCAACAAGGTAGGTCAATGACCAGCAGCTGACACACTGCTTTAGCTACCATTATAACCAACACAATAATGCCCTCCTGGACTCTTCTAATCAGGAAAACCCAGCTAGGTGTGGAGCTCACATTTGCTAACTCCAGCACTTGGGAGGCTGAGTGGAGCAGGCTGCTGTGAGTGAGCAAAGAATCCGTGCGTTGTGAGTTCCAGGTCAGACTGGGCTACAAAGTAAAACCCCTCACAAAGAAAACAAAACAAAAATTCCTCCGAGGTGGCACATGCTAGCACTCAGGAAGAAAGGCAGGAAGTTCATGATTCAAGCCTAAGCAGTAACGCAGAGTACAGACTGACACGGAACACTATGAAACCCATTTCCTCCCACTACCTCCACCTCTTTCATCTTCCCCCTCCCTCTGCTGATCTCTATCCCAGTTGTACATTTACACCTGCAGACACACCCCTGCTGATAACAGTGCTTAGATCTCAGTGATTTTCCTGTGTTCAGCTCATCTTAAGTTCCATAAAAGAGACAAAATGACACTGTACTCTATGTAGATATGCCACATACGCTCCAACATGACCGAAAGGGATGGTCTGGGGGACAGATGACTGACTTTATTTGTCCCCCAGCTGTACAACTGGAAAAGATCCGCCAGACAACTACCACATGTTCTTATTCCCTACAAAGAGCACCCACAAGTGCTCTAAACCAGCACACTGGCCAAATTCCAAAGAAAGTAAGTTTCCAAACAGGAATCCTATCTTACACATATCAGGAACCCGAGACAGTGTCTAGGATGGTGTAAAATACATCCGTGCGGAATCAGTCATCACTGAAAACGGGAATGCAAACAGCGGAAGGAAAGAGGAAGGAAGCTGAGAGCACAGGGAGGAAAAGGAAGGAGAAGCCAGCATGGTGGCACCCACCTGTAATTCCAGCTCTCGGGGTGTGGAGGCTGAAAGATCAGGAGTTCAAGGCTAGCTTTGGCTGCACTGTAAATTGGAGGCCTGCCTAGGCTGTGTGAGACGCTGTCAGAAACAATGTTTTTGAACTGAAAATTAGACAAGTCCTTAATATATATCTGATATCACAATTATCAGCACCTGTCTTAAAAGAATCATCATAAGCACTTTACAGTATTTTCAAAATTATCTTCCCATCTTAGTTTTCAAGGTGTGATTTCTACCAACTTTCAGATAGGCAAATTCCAGACTTCACTTCCAAATGAACAGGTCTGGTGATTTATGCACACTAATTTCGAAGAGTACTGCCCCTACAGGATGTAGGCCCTTAGGTCCTTTCTGTTGTACTGACCTGTTGTTTAAAAAGGCAGTAGCTGGGAGTTGACAATTGTCTTTTGGCTTTTGTGGTGTTGGGATCAAACCTAGGTCCTTACACTTGCTAGGCAAACATTTAGTTATTGAACTACATCACCAGCCTGAAAAAAAATTGTGGTTACACTGACAACCAAGAACTGTGATGAGATCTGACCTATAAGTATTTAATGTCAGGCAAAACATGGCTTAATGTCTACCACAGATGAAAGAAAATTCAGCTATCTGGCAGTTAATAGCCTCAAGAACTCATTTTTGTTCGTTCTTGCCTAGCACAGGGGTTGGAATGATATACATTTAGCCAAGGTTTCCCAAGTGGATTAATTTTTTTTTTTTAAAGAATTATTGAAGGAGGGGCTAGGGATATGGTTCAGCAGATGTGACTCAGGAAGGCATGACATTAACTTCCAGGCTTCCACATGCATATGAACATGCATTGACCCAACTGCACTTGCACACACGTGCACACACACCATAGAAGGCTAGGATAATCATCAGGTTACCTGGCCACCATCAATCTCATTCTAAGGAAAACTAGAAATGCTGGGAGATGCAAGGCAAGGAAGTTCTAAGACCTGGAATACAATGGAATGCACACTGTAGAGCCAGAGACGGGATTCTAACTGTAACTGTGGGCTCTTTTTAAGAATTCTGTTTATGTGTATGTGTGTGCCAGCTTGTTTGTATGTACACCATGTGTACAGGGCTTGTGGAGATCAGAAGAGGGTAACAGATGTACTGTAACTGGAGTTACAAGATGGTTGTAGGCTGTGATGTGGGGGTGCTGGGGACTAAACCCAGGTCCTTTGGAAGTTCAACATGTCTTAACCTCTGAGCCATCTTTCCAGGCCCTAACTGTGGGCTCTTAAAAGACATTTAGAGGTAGCTAGACTTGACGGCCCCATCTGTAATTCCAGTACTGGGAAGCTGAGGCAGGAAAGGAATGAGGTAAAGGCCAGCCTGGGCTACATAGTGAGACTGACTCAAAATACCAAAAAAGGGATGTATGTGTGTGTGTAAAATGTGTGACAGGGCTAGGAAGAGACAACCAATACAAAGGAGTCTGAGCGAAGCTATTTTTCTAAAATACCGGCAGGTCGACTGACTAATCAATTTAATCTGCCAAGAAACTATTCTGAAGGATTCTCAGAAAAAGAACCAGCTGCACAAAAATGTCAGAAACCAAAGAAGACTGCACACACACAGCTAACAGATCTCCGCAGGCTCATTTCCTGTTTAAGTATGACCTCCTGGGATAAGTTTTACTGCCCTGCTCATTACCAAATAGATGACTGTGGGTTTTAAGAGAAGCAGAGGGCAAGTGGGAAATTCGATTCTTAGCTAAACATGAAAGAAGACAAGGGGGGAGGGGGACTAGAATCAGAAACGGGGTGGGGGGAATTCGAAAAATGGGTCAAGGAGGTTCTTAAACACGAATGAGAAGTCGAGAAAACAGAAAAGAGAGGGGAAAGAGGCGAGAAGAAAAGGAAAGTAAAAACCGAGGCCGTTTCCCATTTCTGTTTGTAATCAGAATGCAGGCTTGCGGAGGAAACACACCAACTTCTGTAAGCACAAATACAACGACCCAGGCACGTCCTCCAGACAAACCCGCATCAGCCTCACGGCCGGCCCCAGCTGGGCTGCACAGGAGCCAGCAATTTATTCTAAGGCAGAGCAGGGCAGATAGATCAAAATGGCCAATGTCACACGGCCAGATTTCAATCACGAAAAGGGTGTGTCCCAAGTTCTGTGGGTTCCCTCTCCACCAACAGCCAGGCAGGGCAGCGAGAAGATAGCTGGGGTAGAGGGGCTGCGGGGCGAGGCACTTCCCAGACGACTTCCCAGCCCACGCCGGTTCCAGAGCATCCGTTGAGTCCCAAAACCCAGCAGGCCAAGTCCCCAACCTAGGTAGACCGTCCCGAACACGAGGAGGCCGGTCTCGAACACTAGATGACGGGCCCCGAACCCTAGCCGGTAGGTCCCGAACTCCAGCCGGCCGGCCGCCAGTGACTCACCGACAGCCCGGAGGCTGCGTGCCTGGCCGCGGGCGACACCCGGCACACCTCGCCGTCCCGGGACGGCCCGGCACCCTCCGCTCCCCAGCGAGGCCCTCGGGGAAGGCGCCGCAGCCCCGCGGCGAGAAGCACAGCCGCTCCCTCCTCAGTCGCCCAGGCCGGAGCGAGCCGCTGCCGCGCCCGCCGACGGACTTCCTGGAAAGCACGGTGCTGAACTCACCTGCTGGCGTCCGGCCGCCGCCGAGCCCCTTGCACAGCCCGCAAGATTTAAATCGCTCTTCTCTGCGCCCACGCTCCGCGGTGCCGCAACTTCAGGGAGTTGCCGGATCCTCCCGCCCAGCGGCGCCCCCCAAAAACCCGACCGCGCTGTCTGTATTGCTGGTTCCCTCTTCCCCTCCGATGCGCGTGCGTACTCTTGGGGCGGGCTGCATGCTGGGAGTTGTAGTTCGAGGGAGAAGGGCGCGGCTCCACACGGACCCGGTTCTTTACAATGGGAAGGGTTTTTATAACCAAGCGGCTTCAGATACCAGGAGTAAGCTGAGAAAAATGCTCTGGGCTCCTGTACATACCTGCTCGCGACCCTCTGGAATCTAAAGACTGTCTAAAAGCTTTTTTGGTAATAGGTTTCCTTCTTGCCTGGTGGGCCTTTTTGTAAAAAGACCTATAATACAGAGCAAGGCTTGCCTTTATACCCTTGGTTACTAATGCGGAGAGCATGGTCTCAGCTTTTTAAAACTTGTTGTGGAAGACAGATAAAAGCTAAGGGACTGGGGATGTAGCTCATTTGGTAGAGTGCTTACCCAAGCACACACAATGCCCTAGATTTTGATCCCAAGCACTGCATAAGTTGGGTGTGATAATGCATGCCTGTAAACACAGCACTGGAGGCAAGAGGGGAATCAGACGTTTAAGGTTATCTTCAGCCGTTCAGCCAGCTACATACTGAGTTCAAGGCCAGTCTGGGTTAATGAGTTTTGTTTTTTGTTTAACCAGCTCAGGGCAGAAAAGATCGTAAGTCACCCCAGGAGGTGGGTACCCCAGCACAAAGAGAGGAGTAAAGGTGAAAAGCAGAAATAGATTTCATTAATGCACACACTCAGGAAAGGGACAGATAAAGGGACCAAACAGCCCACATGAGCTTTAGGTTTAAGCAGAGGAAGAACTGGGGCAGGGAGCAAGAAGTATGTAGAATTGAGCAATCCTAGTCACCATGTGTCCTGGCTGGTCATTGTTTCAGCCTGGTTCTGCAGGGTGGTCCAAAGAGTCCCTTTTGCCTGAGGGGACAATATCATTCTCAGCAGATGTTCCAGGGTGCAGCCTCCCTAAGGATGGGATGCCCTCGTCTGGGAGGTGTTCTGACCTGGGATGCTCTGATGTTCATGGAATCCAAGGTGATGTTAGGTGTCTTTGGGGAGTGTTGTGGGATGGTCTTTTTGTACACTGTGAAGCTGTGTCTCTACCAAGACACCTGATTGGTTTAATAAAGAGCTGAACAGACAATAACCAGGCAGAAGAGGACAGGCAGGACTTCCAGGCAGATAGATGGGGTGAGGGGGGCAGGATCTGAGAGGCAGGGAATTTGCCAATGAGACACAGGAGGAAGTCAGACATACAGTATGGAGGAGAAGTAATGAGTCATGTGGCAAGATGTAGATCAATATAAATGGGTTAATATAAGTTATAAGAGCTAGTTGGTAACAAAGCTAAGCTAAAGCCAAGATTTCTTATCAATAAGAAGTCTCCATGTCATTATTTGGGAGCTGGTGGTCCAAAGAAAGACCAGCTACAGGGGAGTAATTGTAAAAGCTGACAATAAGATGTCTCAATTACTTTATTTTTATGCTTTTATCCTTGTAGGGGGATGAGATATCATGGGTTTCTGGATAGGCATTCCTTGAATGATGAACATGCCTACACACAGAGGTAACTAGGCAACCCCAAACAGGAAGGCAGACTCAAAATGAAAGCAGAGATACTAGGCTCTGTCCTGCTTTTAGTTCTCTTGTGGGCTCAAGTGAGGAGTCAGTGCTTTTTAACAATGCAGTTTCTAACTGCCTGGTAGACAGCAATTGCCTCATCGTCTGGGTCAGTTTCTGCTCCATCCATCCTCCCATTCCAGCTTCATAGTCTACATCAGACAGTAGATTGGGCTAATTCCAATGAGAGTAAATGACAGAAGGGGGGAAGCTAAAGTAGTTTAGGGAGGGGAAGATGAGGAAAGTGGAAACACCTCAGAGGACTTTTGACGATGTCCTGTGGGATAGCTGTCTCTTGTGCAGGGCTCTGAGGAGAAGCTCTCTAAGGATTGTGACAGCAGGGACAGGAATAATGTTCTATCTCGATAATGCAGCCCGAAGCCAGGCAGTGGTGACGCACACCTTTAATCCCAGCACTCGGGAGGCAGAGGCAGGTGGATCTCTACGAGTTTGAAGCCAGCCTGGTCTACAGAGAGAGTTCCAGGACAGTCAAGGCTACATAGAGGAACCCTGTCTTGAAAAACCAAACCAAGCCAAAAAAAAAAAAAAAAATTCAGCCCAGAAGAGAACTGGAGTGCGTGCTTGAGGTACATTCCAGCTACACCCAGAATAGGGAGTCGCCCAATGGTTAACCTTCTCCTGGTATCTACTTCTTCCTCTCAGGGTGTGGAGTACCCTTGGTTAAGTAAACACCCCGGAATTTTGTGCAACTGCCACCCGCTGAACATCACTGATGATTTGGAAAACCTCTCTCTCTCTCTCTCTCTCTCTCTCTCTCTCTCTCTCTCTCTCTCTCTCTCTCTCTCCTTCCCTCCCTCCCTTCCTCTTTCCCTCTCTTTGTTTTTTTCACTTGTTTGTTCATCTGAGACAAGGTCTTGTCATGTAATCTGGCTGCCCTGAAACTTGCTATTAGACCAGGCTGGCCCAGACTTAATGCAATCTTTTGTACCAGGATTACAGGCCTGCACCACTGTACCTGGCTGAGGGAAGTCTCCTGTAAATTAAAATATCCAGGAGCTGGTTTCTGAAAGAAATTTCCTATAGTACTCAGGTTCGGTTAATATTTATTGAACACCTAATACATAACAACAATTGTGTCAGTATTTGTAATATCTCGTTGAACTTTGAAACAATTCTACAAGGAGGAAATTAATATCCTCAAGTTTTCAACATGAAAATAAAAAGCGAAGAATTGAGAAAGTTAATTTGCATAAAGGCAAATGGCCAGTTGCTGATTATAATAGTACTTTTGTTGTTTTTAACATTTTTTTTTTTTTGGTTTTTTTGAGACAGGGTTTCTCTGTGTAGCTTTGTGCCTTTCCTGGAACTCACTTGGTAGCCCAGGCTGGCCTCGAACTTATAGAGATCCGCCTGGCTCTGCCTCCTGAGTGCTGGGATTAAAGGCGTGCGCCACCACCGCCCGACATTTTTGTTGTTTTTAAAAATGATAAGCGGCGCTGGTTACTGGGTGGAAAGGTCATGAGACACAAGCCACGACAAAACCCAGTATCAGAGCTTTATTAGGAGGAGTGGGGGACAAAAGAACCAGGCCTGGGGAAGAAGCATGTGCAGAGAGCAGAGTGAGAAATAGAGATAGTGGGGGCAGGAGAGAACAGAGCAGAGAGAAGAGGGGAGTCTGTGTCCGGCTTTTTAAGGATTCCTGTGAACATGCGCAGTGGGCTTACAGAGCTATGCCATGCATGTGCAGATTGTGTGACCATGCAGCGCACATGTAATCACCAGTGCACACTGATGACATAAGACACAAGACCCCTTGCTTAGCTCCTGAACTGCGCATGTGCGGTCATGCAGCTGGAGTGGTGGCAGAATCCTAACAACTTTCTCATTGAGATGGCCAGAACGCAAATAATGACATGGAGATTTATTATTAATTATAAAAGCTCTGCCTAGCTTAGGCTTGTTTCTAACTAGTTCTTATAACTTAAATTAACCCATATTTTTTAATCTTACTTTTTTTCACTTCCGTACTGCCCATTCTGCTTCCTCCACATCTGGCTGGCGACTCTGCCTTTCTTCTTTCCAGAGTTCTCTCTGTCCAGAAGTCTCACCTATACTTTCCTATACATTCAGTTTTTATTACACCAGTCACAGCAATACATTTTTACACAGTGTAGAAATATCCCACAACTAGTTGTAAATCCAGAAATGAAGCATAAACTCACTTAAATCCTACTATGTTCTAACTGCTGATTAGACTGACATGTCTCCTAGATCTCATCAAATTCTTTAAACTATGATAACCTGTTGCCAGGCTCAAAGAATATGAAGAAACTTCTCCAAGACATTCCAGAAGAGACAGGGTTTTGAATGAGTAAATAATTTGGATTCTTTGGCAGTTTGTTTGTGTGATATGAAAAAAAAACAAACCCCCCAACAAAACCTGATTTGCTCTTGATGTATATGTGTGTGTGTGTCTGCATGTGTTTATGTGCACCACGTGTGTGCAGGTGCCTCATGAAGGCCAGAACAGGATGTTGGGTCCCCTAGAACTGGAGTTACGGGCACTTGGGATCAGCCGAATGTGGTTGCTGGGAACTGGACCCATGCTCTGCAAGAGTAATACATGCTCTTAACTGTTGAAACCATCTCTCTAGCCCATTTTGTGTGTCATTTTTTGAGAGAAGGTCTCATGTAGCTCAGGCTGGCCTCAAATTCATTATGGAGCTGAGGCTGGCCTTGAACTCTTTATCCTTCTTCTTGTGCTTCCCAGATCCTGGAATTACCAGCATGCACCACACACACACACATCTGGCTTTTTGACAGTCCCATATTCACCGTACAATAGTATCCTGGTCTATTCTGGCCTGAGAAAATAAGCTGGTTCTCTCCCGTCCACCATTTCAGGTTATCAGCCTTGGTGCTCCCTGGACAGCCAGCCTAGGCTGCTCAGTGAGCTCCAGGGCAGGCATCAATGGAGATGGAGGGCTGGAGAAGTAGTTCAGGGGTTAAGAACACTTGCTGCTCTTCCAGAGGACTCTGCCCTCTTCAGGCCTCCACAGGCACTTGCAGATATGTGATGTACATACACACTCAGGCACACATACATACATATAAATAAATCTTTTTTTTTTTTTTAGAGATGGCACCCAATTACCCAAGGTTGTCCCTTGGCTTCCACATACTTGCATCCCCTCCTCCCCGCCAACACACACATACACACACACACACACACACACACACACACACACACACGAATAAGGGCAGGGTATGGTTCTTATTAATTTTCAGGGCTTGGTCAGAGTGAAAGTGATTGATAAGATGGCACTCCAGTTCTACTCAGTGCATGGTAAGCCCTCATTAGTGTTATCTTTATGCCTCCAGCCAGAGTAACTCATAAAG